ATTTTAATTATTTTTATTTCCAAACTGATTTTAACCAGTTCTATAGTAAGGTAACATTCCAATAGACAATATGCAAAGCTTTTTTTTCAGTTTACAGCAGTATTTATTACACAAAATTTAAGTAAAGCTTAACATGCCGATCTTGCCCCGATCTCCCCTATACAATTAATTAACAATTAAACATATTCGAAGCTCTATCGCATTACACGTTAATAACCTATCAGATATTATGGTTTTAGTGTTCCTGTCCTGTAATACAGGTGATAGAGTGACACTGTTTTGCAAGTGTTAGCTGTTCGATGGGGATATTCTGTCAAGCAGGTTTACCTGGACCTGTATTTGTGAACGTGACAGTTTATATTAATAATGTTTTATTACATAAATTTAGTAAATAAACTTTTTCTGACTTGTGAGCTAAACGTGAACGTAGGAATGGGAAATTTTACTACACTCTACTATGGTGTTATATACTATTCTATAGCTTACTATTATATTATTCTTATACATTAAATACTAGATACTATTATATGTTAGTAAGTCTACACTATAATGTATCATTAATTAATGTTAATTTATAATTCAAAGCATCTTACCAAAAGATTTTATCGTCAATACAAGCAAAACAATTCGAGTAAACAGCGACTGAACAACTGATGTAACTTATCAGTATGATCTCGAACGATGCGTGAATATTGAGTAATTTTTCCCTCATAAAACTAAATCTGTACTTCCTCTTCTAAATATAAATCGACGATCAAAAATGTGATAAGATGAAAACTTAATTTTAAAATTTATTTCAGTTGATTTATGACTTTATCTATTCGAATTCGTGTTGCAAATTTCTCAATTTCTATAAATTTTTACTCGATCGAACGTCGTAAAATCGAGTAAAAAATCGTTAAGTTTTTAGCATAATTCTGCACTCAATTTACTTTAAAGGAAGGGAAAATGTTAATTAAATTTAAGACACAAGAGAATTAACGCATAAACTCTTATACGGGTTTAAGTGCCAGCTCGAATGTTTGTCACTCTTCATTGGCAAACTTAAAATAATTGAAAGGACAAAAGAAAAAAAAAATAGGTATAAAAATAGGGAAAAATGTTTTTAATAAATACACGAAAAGTCAATAAAGTATGTCAAGAAAATGAAAATTAAGCTTTTGTAACTTGTGTATTTATTTATCTTTAAGTATGTAAGCTTCTTGATTCTATACACAGATTATACAAGAGTATTGTCTTGATAATGATTAAAAATTTAGTATTTATGTTATTGTTTTATAGGAAATATTTACAGCATAATTTTAAAGCAATTTGCACCACATATTTTCAAAGAATATGCTCTTTATCTGACTTTTTTATTTATGTTCCTGCATGTTTTATGCAGTAAATGGAGATCAACACAGTAATTTTGACTTTATCTATGTAAGCCTATATGTAAAATATACAAAATATGTACCGTACGTATAAAAGTTATATTATATATTATTATATAACGATAAAACTCATAATATAATAGGCCTATTTTTATAATTTATTTATTTTTAGTACCCAATTTTTATTGTTTATACGCAAATTATGGGCTTTTACTGTATGAGTATGTGACACTACTCAAATCATTATATACTGTATATTATTTCTAATATGTAGGGGAGATCGGGGCAACTTCGGCAAGCGGGGCAAGTTTGTCAAGCGCTTTTTTTAAAAAACAAATTAAAAGGAGACTTTGGTTATAGGTTAGGCAGTTGAGTTTTATTAGTGGCTTGTTGAGTGTAGTGTTTTTATTGTTCTCCAACAAGCGTAGTTGAATTATCAAGCAAATTTTCATTTTCGTTGAATTCCATATAATATTTTTTTTCCATTTATATTGAATTGGCAGGTTTTGTTATAATTCCATGATAACGAAAGTTACTTTTCCTGTTAGAAGGATGTAACTTCAACTTATTCACGTGGCCAGATCGTGGCTTGGCATTCTGTTCTCAGGGTTGTACTTAATGTTTCGAAATCATGACTAGCGGGGTAAGATCGGCAACATAAAGCCACATTAGAAGCAAAGGATAAAAATCAAACAGATGATAAATGAAAACATGTTTGCATTTGTTATTCATGTATATATGTCTTTGAACTTGCATTTCGTTGTAATAATATTAAATGGGTGTTGGATTTGTATTTCTTTGTTTTAATAGTGAATTCCAACTTATACATTGTTAATAACATAATTTTATATACGTGCCTATCTTGCCCCATTACTGTTGCCCCTATACCAGGGGCAACTTTAATAAAAATAATTAAAATAATTACAACTTTACAAAAAGAGAGAAGTTGCCGATCTTGCCCCTATACCCGGGGCAACTTCGTCAATTTCTCTCTTCTTGTAAAGTTGTAATTATTTTAATTATTTTTATTTCCAAACTGATTTTAACCAGTTCTATAGTAAGGTAACATTCCAATAGACAATATGCAAAGCTTTTTTTTCAGTTTACAGCAGTATTTATTACACAAAATTTAAGTAAAGCTTAACATGCCGATCTTGCCCCGATCTCCCCTATACAATTAATTAACAATTAAACATATTCGAAGCTCTATCGCATTACACGTTAATAACCTATCAGATATTATGGTTTTAGTGTTCCTGTCCTGTAATACAGGTGATAGAGTGACACTGTTTTGCAAGTGTTAGCTGTTCGATGGGGATATTCTGTCAAGCAGGTTTACCTGGACCTGTATTTGTGAACGTGACAGTTTATATTAATAATGTTTTATTACATAAATTTAGTAAATAAACTTTTTCTGACTTGTGAGCTAAACGTGAACGTAGGAATGGGAAATTTTTATCACTCTCATGGGTCATGAAAGCACGTGACACGAGACTTTTATCACTAAGAGGAGATTTCCTGACAGCACATGCCAGTTAATACTGTTAGCAATACAGCTAATGTAATATTCTAGTACATTGCTATAAGTTTTCGAATCAGATTACCCGAATTCGCCTGCAAAGACTAGTTTCCTATAGAAAGTTCTCCCCTGAGGTACCCCCTTGACAGATCGCCCATGTGTTACATTGTTTTATGCGACCATTTAGTATAGATGAAGAATGAAGAAGTCTCATCTCCATTTCCCATTGTAAGTAATTCTTTACAAAGTGACTCTTGTAAGGAATTACTTACAAAGACTTCCCTTTAGAGCCGTCATGCGTCACACATTAACACGCATTACTTTTTCGCGTGATATTTCGCATTGGATGATAAACCTTAAACATTTATAATGTTTTTCTTAAATTAAAAAAAAAACTAAAGAAAAAATTAGAAAAAATANATGGGTCATGAAAGCACGTGACATGTGACTTTTATTACTAAGAGGAGATTTCCTGATAGAACATGCCAGTTAATACTGTTAGCAATACAGCTAATGTAATATTACTTGGATGGAAAAAGACATTATTATTATCATCGTTACTTGTTAAATAAAAAATGAGTGTAGGAAGAAGGCTTGATAATATCTGGAACCAGTAGTGCAAACTAATTTCTGGAAATCCAGGAAAACAGGCATGCAGGTGCAATTCAAAATACAGTATGTAGGAAAGAAATGGTTGGATTAGTCGCTAGTATGAAAAAATATATTGAAGATAACCATCTACAGGATGATATACAAGAATTGCAACAGCTGGGTGAGTATTTTGAACCATTATAAGTTTTAAAAATTTTCTATAGCTTGCTATAAAGTTTTCCTGGATCATAACTCAATTGAATCTATATAGATATTCTTTAGTTCTTCGCCCGAGTAATCTCCATAGCGTTACGAAAAAAAACGGTCCTTTTCCAAAAATGTATGGGATAATACATATACATTGTTATCTATGATCTATGAAAATTTTGTTAATTACTTTTACAACAAAAGGTTCTTATAACATTACTTTTATAGTGTTCAAAGTGTCTTGCAACAACTTGGGATCACTGGAGTCATGCAAGCAGCCAAAGACAGATTTGATATGGCTATCACAGAATATCACCTTTTAGCAAATCTTCTGGACCCAATATACCAGAGTGCAAAGCTCACAGACAGTATGAACAAGGCCGGATTAACCCACTTTAGGGCCCTAGACACTTTCTTTTTACTGGGCCCCCTCCCTCTCCCACAAGAAATAGAGCACACAAATAATATAAAACAATAAATAAAACAAAACTAAATAATGTGAAAAACTAAAACAAATCTTAATTTTTTATTAATAAGAAATATTTATCTCATTTGTCTCATTTGTCTATGCGATGATCCGGCCCTGAGTATGAAGGTGCCACGCTTACTACTGCTAGTCTGTTTTAAAATACTTACGTATTTTATTTTACGTGTTACTTACGTACAGTTTTAAAATACTTGACACAATCTAGCCCATTTCTGCAACACATACTTGCAGAGTCTGTGTTAACTAATATCACTCCTCTTACATGGCGGCAGTCATTACGTGACAGAATTGATGAACCTGTTTTAAAATTAGTTACACAGCTGGACACAGCAGTGGATTCTTCAGCGGGAATTGAATGAAGTTTCTCTACCTATGGACTTGTTTATTCAAAACTTAGAAATCGACTTGGACAGGAAAAGGCAGCAAAGCTTGTTAAAGTTTTCAAGCACCTAAACAAACACTACTGAGTATTGTACATCTCTGAAAATAAGAAACTCTACAAGCTGCAGAAGCCACTGCTGTCAATTACATGCAAATCTTAAAAAATGCCATTGCATAAAGAAACATTTAAAAATGCTATATTTTATATTAAATAAAACATTCTGTACATTCTTGAGTCTTACACTGAAGATTTTCTGTTTTTTTTTCTTTTTCTATTTTACTAGATCAAGTGTTTTATTTCCAAAAAACCATGTTTTAAAACGTTTTTTAAAAATCATGCCAACCCTGATATACAGTACCATTGCATTATAATATAGTCGAGATACTGTCAAGGTAAAGATTATAAGGAAGGTCTAATAGAGCAGTTGTTTCGCTAGGAACCACTGCAAAAGTATAATTTTATTAACCATAAAATTATACTTTTATATTTGAAAGGAACACAAAGTTATTCATTATTGTTTAGATTTATTACTTTTTTTCCAGGACAGAAAATCTTTCTTATACCCAAGTATTTTATAATATTCAATACGTGATTTGAACAATTTTAATTAGAATATGTGTCATTTACTATAAAAAATATATCAATAATAATAAATATCTGAGTATAAATACAGTCGAACTCCCTTATAACGGCCATTTTTTTGTGTTTCCGTCAGTGGCCGTCGTTGGCAGGTCTGTATTGTATGATTGTTAATTACAGCTTTGCAAAAAAATGATTTATGAAAGTCCCAAATTGTGCAATTTTCTGGGCCAGAAAGTCTAATGGGAAACAAAGAAAGTCACATCAGCTACTGTAAATAATTGTTAGTTACTATAACACGTGACAGGAAGCTGATCGACTGTCACGTGTAGTGTTTCAGAACGAGAAAAAGTCGTTCCCTTTGCAGAAAAAAATTCATTTTTTGGAAAGAAATTTTGATGTATTATTTAATTTTAACCTTAAAGAAACAGCCATTAGAGTCATTAAACATAGATATAAATCTTTTCTTACTAATCCAATCAGAGTTGAGATAATGCTGAATCATCCAATCGTGTAATGTCTTTTTAACTATTTCTCACAACTTTCACAACAAACTACCTACATTCATAAGCACTTATTCTCATTACGATTTAATGGGTCTTATAAGCAAAAACTGATAGCAAAGAAATGTTGTTGACCATAACACAGTATTTATTTATATATTTTATACTAATACTAAAATATGTTGTATGATTTCTGAAGTCATTCGTTTTCCCCCCTCTTGTATTGAATCAAAAGAAAAAATCATTTAAACTCTGACCCGTGGCTCTAACAGGATCTTTTTCATATCGTGGATTTAACTAAGACCCCATCTTGGAGGCCGAGAGATGGAGCCTACACGTTAGAATCAATCCACCCACAAAAATAAATGAGTCTTCTTGAACTCGAACCTGAATCCACTAGTGAAACAAGCTGGTATCTTTAGTACCTCGGCCAATCCCATCATCTTAAACTATCAGGTATGAGGTCGTAATCAATTTTACTTTTACTAAATAAACATAATTTATTTAAAATATGTTTACAGTTTATAAAACACAACTTGAATATCTGTTCCATTCTATTCTACTAAAAAAAAAAGGTACATGATTACAAATACTCTTAACATATATGAATTTGTACAAAATGTTCTTTTTCATTGTTGATGACAAACAGTTTTATAAAAATTTCTTACACATAAACAAACAAACACGTGTGAATTATTACGTTTCTGTTTCTAATTTTTCCTTTTTTTCATATTCTATATCGCTAGTGCGATTTGCTGTGTTCTTTATTTCGACAACTGCACGATTTGGCCTGAAATAAAACAAATGTAAATATTAATTAATTACAACATGTACAGGGTGGACGAGAAGTCACCGTGTCACCAATTTACAGAGCACGTAGTAACAGGTACAGTGACGTGTGACCACGAAATAGATTGTGTTAAGCTTTCGTCCTCAAATTGCTCGTACTTTGACTTATTAGGTCTGTTGTGTACAGGCCTTATTCATTTGATAAAAAATAAGTTCTAAAGCAGGATGATCTCTGCTTTAGGAGTTTGAGAAAGAGTAAACCTTGATAAACATGTCTACCGGATCATAGGTTGCACATGAAATAATACAGCAGCGACAATAAGCTGTGAAGAAACGTTTCAGTTGACACTAATTCTGTCGAATGTAACAAAAAATAGTCACAATGTCAACCAGAACAACATAATTCTTAGCGAATGCACCTGTACCATAATTTAGGGGTTCTCAGAAATGATCTCTACAGTGACTACTCGTCTATCCTGTACATAAATAAACACATGACTTGATTTTTACAACAGAAAAGAGTGTAGAAAGGGTGCTTACATTCCTCTTTCTCCTGTGTAATGATAATCTGTATAGCGTCTTCGATAAACGACACATCCTAAAATTAAACAGAATACCAGAAGTATTGGGATAATGATCCCAGCCGATATGCCTCCAATTTGTGCTGCATATTCGCTATCAGCTGTAAAAAAAATTAAAGAAAATATGAAATTATCAATTTTACTCCGTGAAATTCATAATGCAAGTTACATGAAAGAGGAGAAATGCCAATGAAGTATCAATAGTTATTCAACTATTCCTGAAGAAAGGATTTATCTAATTAAATATTAAGGATTATAAAATAGGAATTCATAAGTAAATGCAACATTTTCCCCAAACTGAGATACTTACATATACATATAGGATCAATACCCCAACTCCAAAGTCCTGTACCATGGCATATTCTTCTTTCGTGCCCAACTAGACGATATCCAGGATCGCAACTGAAAGTAACTATAGAATCGGGATGATAACGAATTTCGTCTTTCTTTCCATGAATAGGTTTTGGTAATTCTGGACATCGAATAACTATAATTTTTTTTTTTAATATAGAATATTAGAATATTAAGTTGAATTTAAGAATACGAAAAGTTCTATTAAAACATTACCTTTCTCCCTCACTTCCTTTGCTAAGAATAATGATCTACTTTCGTGTAATTTCGTACTTTCTGCAAATTTTTTATCTCCCGTAACAATATAATCGTATGAGCACGATCCTATATCTCTGCAGGTCTATATAACAATGAAGTTTTATTATGTAACATCGAGACTTTTATACAAATACATGTTTAAAAAATAAAACTTACAGGTCTAACGTCGTGTTTATAAGTGAAATTTTCATGAACTTTTACTTCATCTGAATATTCCGGTTTGAAAGTATTATCGTCGTATTCGGTAAAATCGATCACATCGTGATAAAATAACGAATCACTCGGTGAAAGTCTCCCTGTAGTATTAAAAAAAATATATATATATATTTTTTTTAATTTACATCATTTATTAAAAAAAACAATTAAACATGAATCCATGCTCACATGTGTTGCCGAATCTCTCGTGAAGATCGCGATTATTGCTTGGTATGACAGGAGGTCTGTCTCCTGGTACTGCAAAATCATCAAATTTGTCACCTGACCAATTGCCAAGAAGTCCTCTTGTTTTATTCTGTATTTTAAATAAAAAAGTAAGCTTTAAATAATATTAATGTATCTCAATCCTTCGTATCCTTCTATTGATTCCACTGAGAATCAAACCCGAAAATGGAGAAGAATTTCCATCAGTAATGGCTCCTCGAGTTTGAAAGTTGATAAACGAATCTACAGGTAAACTATAATAAAGATAATTTCCTATTATGGATCTAGTATTATTAATATGATGAATTATATTTTGCTGTGGTGGTTATAGCAGATGGAGCAGAAACATTTCTAGATTTTGCAATGATTATTCTTTACATAATAAAAAGCCTTATTGAAGAGTAAAATGAAGGAATTTAAATATGAAAAACAGTTGAACATACCAAAAAGATTAGAGGTAAGTAAATATGAACACCCAAATTCCCATCAACATTCATAACTTCAATACCAGCTCCAGAATCGAACATGGCGACAATATGGGACATATTCCAAATGCCAGCAGGTTGATAAAGAGTGACTCCTATTTATAAAATTATAATAAATTACAATTATAGTATTTACCATGAAAGAAATTCACTTAAAATTTACCTTGGAATGTTTGAATTCTTAAAGTATCGTCCCAAAAGTAAACAAATTCCTTATCAACTATAACATAAAGATGATATCTCCAACGACTGGCATCCGGACGAATTCGGAATTCGACTGTAGACGAAGTATTATCTTTAACAGCTATTGCTGTAAGTCTAGTTCCATTAATATTGGGACCTAAAATTTATTAATATCATGTGAGAAAATTATGTAAATATAATGGAAACTTAACAGATGATACTTAACTGCTCATAGCCGATTGAAATTGTTCAAATCTTCCTTGAATGTCCAAACTTCTATTAGCATAACGTACACGTACCAAAGAAAATTCTCCTTTAGCATTGAAAGTGAAGTTTCTGTTGTCAAATGTGATGAAGTGAGGATCGCCGTATACAGATCCTAGTAAGATATTGTAAACAAATTTAGTAATTTAAAATATTAAATGTAATGTTATTAGAAAACTTTATATTGCAATGTCCTTACCTACTCCAGGTGGTTGATAAGAAGTACAATCTTGTGACGTTCTCCAAAACTTAAACTTTTGACACGATTCAGCATTATCCTCGTCTTTAACCCATTTACAACAAAAGAAAAATGGCATCACATCATGAAGCCAGTGCGATAATGTGGGAAGCTGTAATATTTCATCGGTTAATTTCGAATTTATCTTTAAATATTATGTAAATAATAGAATTACCATCATTCTCCATTTATACGGATGTTTTCCATATTTGAATGATCTCGAAGGCCTTCCAGCATACATTGTATCAGCCGTTCTTAGTAGCTCTCCGTAAGTATCGTAGCAACATAATTGTCCAGAGCCACCGACTCTAAAATTTAAAGTATTTTTAATATAGAATTGCTTTTAAATTGCCCTTTAAAATTGAAAAGACTTACGAAGGTCTTCCTGATTGTATGCAATGTTGGGCTTCTCTGTGAAATGTGTCACACTTTTTATCTATGACGTTACATTGACTGTCGGGTGAAAATCGACCACGATCTATTTCCGCTTGCTTCAGGGTACAGGGACAACGGAAGAGAGAAGTGGCAAATGTTAATGAATTCTCCTCATCGTCATACCATTTATCACAGAAATGCTCTCTCCATTTTCCTTTGTGTTCACGTTCCCATTGAGGTCTGAAATACCATGCTAAAGGCATAGGCCTGCTCCAAATTTCTCTGAAAACGAAGATTAAACAGTCAAATTTCAGCATTATCACGAATTATATTTATTCATACTTACGGTGATCTCTTGATATTTCTTCCGAAACTTGAGGCATCGGTTAAATTCATTGATATGAAACCGAAAACTATATCAGTGTTTCCGTAATTTCTCCTTTGTTCAAACTGCACCACATCTAGTTCGTATCTTTCCTTTCCTACCATTACAGCACCTTCTGCCAAAGTGTCTATATAAGTTAACTTTGGATAACTTTCTGATATTTCTCTGAATAACAATAAAAGTAAAGTTGTTAACAATAAATCAAGTAGTTTAGCTGTTGGAAGAAGTTTAGGGAAAAAACAAAAGGAGAAGAAGTGTGGACAGTGAGAAAATAACACTTGCTTACAGGTTTAATTTGAAAGACAGATATGTAATGAGTAACCTACTGAATAATGATACCAATATCATCCAAGACAATTACAAATATAAAAGAAAAATAATTGCTATTTACCTGTATCCCCATAAGTGAAAAGATGCTTTAACATCATCTCTCCAAGTCAAATATTCCTTTTTCCAATTTAGGGTAAGTGAAGTAGGGTTATACAATCTATCTTTGTTCTCGTATATGATGATGTCTTCTCTTGCTATTTCCGGTGGTTCTGGCAATTATAAAATAGCATTAAAATTGTGCTTAATAATTTTATTAACAAATAATTTCAATACTGTTGAAGGTCGCAACACGTGGGAGAGAGATGCCTTCTGGAAGGAATTTCTATGGGAAATTGATCCCTATTTAGATATTACAAACGTGAAGAAAACCCGGAAAATTCCACGTGGCTAGGCTGTTGGCTTAGCACGAACCCACGACCAACTACTATTGTTGGTTAGTTACCACTCGTGGGTATTAATTTTAGAAGGCAGGAAACCTTTTGTTACAGTGAAACAATGGAATATATTAGAGTGCCATTGAGTTATGCCTGATTTTTCTGATTTAATAAAATACATTCCTGAATAATCTAAAGTATAGTAACCTTTTTTAAAACCAGAAAAATAAATAAATTTTATTTTATGAATTATTATTACAAATAAATTTTCTATCATAAAAGTAAATAATTTTGAATAGAAAGATAGAAAAACAATATATTTCTATTGTGTTTCGTACACTTTTCTAGTCAGCAATTGTTACGCCTAGTAAACAAATATGACAGAATAATAAATCGATCTTGAAATGTACCATTATAAATTGTTTTTTTACTGTATTCTACAGCCCACGTTATACGTCGTAAATGTATGGAATTTAACAAAAGTTAAAACGTCAACTGCGGTTGATGTATTGAAGAAATTCCTAGTGAACCTAAACACAATTAAGTACAATTTTGAAATAGTCGTAAAGTTCAGTGATGAATGACGAAAATAATAATAATAATAATATAAATGGATGGAAGTTAATTTTGATCTGTCAGCAAATTAATTACGAAATAATACGATAAACCAATAAATAGAATAGAAAAAATAAACAGAAATATTAGTCCAAAACAAACTATATTCAAGGCTAAAAGGACCACATGGAGAACACCATATCCATTGAATCCTTCAAGGAAAAGACCTTCTGACTGCTTCTATCGAATAAATAATTCATATAAAAACAGAATTGGATGTAATTATGCATGGAGTTAAATATAATTTAAAATATTCCGTTATTTCCCATGAATTTACATAAATTTTACTTACGTTCTTATTTAAATAGTATAATAAAAATGAATATATACTTACGTATATAATATTTTCCATAGAAATGATAAGGACCTTCATTAACGGATACGGATATATCCACATATCCATGAAACAACACTGGAGGTTGAAAGCATGTTGCATGATTTATGTCCTTGTAAACACCTTTTACTTCAAATATATCAAATTTGCAAGCGATTCTGACATTTTCTTCTTCTTTCACTTTTCCAAAACATGGACCAGTTATATTGACCATCGTTCCTCCCAACATATTACCCCAACGGGGGAAGAAAGTGAGACGAGCTCTGTCAACCCAGTTAGGATCCAATTCTACGAAAAAAAAAGATAAATTAATTATTAGCTAACTGATACTTAAATATAGTTATAAAGAACTTAAAAATTACCTTTTTCAATACAGGAGCCAGGCCATACTTCTTCATCAATTTGAAATATCCAACGTCCTTCTAAGCCATTTCCAAATCCTCTTTCTTTTAGCAATTGTAATCGTGGACTTTGTGAATATGGTTTTAAATGAAAAGCTCTTGTTCGGTTTCCACCGTTAAAACCAACCTAAACAATTAAATAAATTCTCATAATGTTATAATTTTTTTTCCTCAAAAAAATCTCCGAATTTTATATGAAAAACAATGCTTACAAAAACTGACTGAGATCTTTTGGTGCCATCGTAAGGATCTCCATACGAAATCCAGTCGAGTTGATCGTAATTGAACATTGCATAAGTTCTCAATTCATCCGTAGCCAAGACCAATTGATAAGTATTTGTCTAAATGGTAAAAAAGAAATTAATTTATGAAAGTTTTCAAGATTTTAAAATACGGTAAACAAACCTTTAATGCAGTGTTGGCATCTCTGTCAGAAAACGTAGCATTCATCCAAGTTATAATTACAACGAATAATGGTTTAAAATCGCTGGCTCCTATCATGCCTTCACGAAAATCCAAAATTAATCTCTCTCTCAACATGTTATCAGGTTCCTTATCAATGATTACTATTTTCTTGTAAACTCCGGATTCTGTAACGTATTAGAAATATACAGATTTATTTCTTTATACTAATACATAAAGAACTTTCATAAGGAATATCTTGTATTTCGACTGAAGATACAATATATTATTGCTTTGTATAAGGAAACTAAATTAATTTCTCACGTGGAATGTCTTGAGGAAAATCCTGCTTGCTAAACCATGGAGCAATTAACGAAGGATCGACTTCTTTCTTTGGATCGATATTTTTCATGGGAAAATCTATTGGTATCTTATATTCTTTAGGTCCTGCTGAGAAGAGAATGTATCCGTCTTTATGAACCTGTAATATAATATATTTATTTATAATATATTATAATATAAATAAGAAAATATATATATATTTATANTTGTAGAACAATTAAAATGTAAATAGGTTCTCTCTAGAAGGGCATCCTTACCTTATAAAATGTATACTATTGTCATTCATTAAAAGTGTGAAAAGCTTTCAGCTGGAGTCCAGAAAGCTTAGCTTATCTGCTCTTTGCTACAACATACTTCAGCTCACCTTTACTCAGCTCTAAATTCACAGCTTAGCTCCTTCCACAGCTCAGCTCAATATTTACAAACGGCTGAGTGGTGCTGAATTTTGTCAAAATCTACCCACACTTGCATGTGTAACTGACTATAATAAACTAAATTAATACCTCTTCCATAGATTAGTATTATAGTTTTGTATTATAATTGGATAGATGAAAATCGAGACCGGATAGGGAAAACTTAGGAGTTGGAGGCCCGAACTTATATACGAATTTCCGGTTAGAACAGCCGGAAGTCAGGTGATTTCAATTCAAAATTTTTAAAACAGAGTCGAAAAAAATATGCTACAAATAAACAAAAATTATTCAATTATTTGTTAGAACAGCCGGAAGTCAGGTGATTTCAATTCAAAATTTTTAAAACAGAGTCGAAAAAAAATATGCTACAAATAAACAAAAATTATTCGATTATTTGTAGCATTAATTCAAGAAATATGTGTTCAACATTATAAGGAAGTGCGGCGTGTGTGTGAATTCAAAACCAAAAAATGGTAATCTGAAAGTTAATGACTGATCTTGTAGAGGTCTGGAACTCGTAATTTGATGTACGTAATTCGATTCCCAAACAGGGTATAGTAATTGTTTCCTGAATTGGTCCATTGTCTGGGGTTTAGGAATTATTTCTTTATCGTAATTTGAAAACATATTGATAACAGGTGGCTTATTCGCAGCTGAAATTTCTGTAAATTAAGTAACTTTTTAATATTACTTATACGTGGTTATTGTTTATTTTAGATTTTTTTTACCTTAATTTTATAGAAAATCTTAATTATAAAATATTCATGAAGTTATTTGTACACCATAAATAATTATCTGGTCTGTAATTTAATGATTAACTAACTTTTAAGAGAATATAATAATGAATAAATTAAAAACTAGTAGTCTTTTGCAATGTTTCTTGAGAAAAGAGGGAATTTCTAAGCATTATTTTCACTTTTTATTAATACATACGCCTTGGAGGTAGAAGGAAATCACTACAATTGAGAACCATTCTACTGAAAATGCACCTCTTTCTAAGCTGCACTTGAGTGACATTTATTCACTTGTATGACCATATTCATCACAACTTTACAACGTCGTAAATTTTGATTAATTAATATAGTGATCTCCTGTAATCGATGTAGAGTCGTAGTGTTAGTAGGTACCAACACTACTGAAAAAGCCAAAGATGACGTGGACTCTCTAATTATTTATTCTGAAACTTTAACTTATTCACAGTATTCCTTATATTCTGAAACAGTTCTTAGATCAGGACTATAACAAATATTAGGTTATATTTAATAAACATCTGGTACAGGAATATACTCTTCCTGAAACTATAGAACAAGTGCAAGAACTGTTTGTGCATAATCCTTAAAGTCAACAAGACTGACAAGCAAGGAATTAGGAAAAGATAAAAATATCATTAGGAATTATTGGAAGAGGACTTCTTGAAAAAGTATGGCAGGAAGACATTTTATTGTAAAATTACTGTTGGGGCCACATTAAAAACGTTTAGATACTGACGAAACATTACAGCATACTTCACACCTTTCAAATCTGTATCTTCAGTAGACACTACAATATCTTTCATATGACACTACAGAAGTCAAATATATAGGATTATTTTATTTTAAATGATATGAAGATGCTATAAGATTATCTGAAAATAAAAATATTAATATACGTCAACATTATTAATATGTTTTTATACTGTTAATTTTACTTCTTGTACAATAATAAAAATGGTAAGATACTATAGAGTTAGCTTGTTGAAAATATTTTTAATCTGTGAATAAAAATAATCAACCAGTCATTTAATTGATAAGATAGGATTATGTACGAACTATAACGAAAGGATTACGACATAGGGGCGTACAAACCGCTTTTGTGATTAACAATATAGAGTACATAAAGAATTGTTTTTTATTATGTTAATAATACTTGTAACAACTAGTGAATACTTGTAAAAGTTAGGACGTACAGGAAATTCAAGTCGTTACAAGTATTATGTTCATAATACTTGTAACAACTTGAATTTCCTGTACGTCATCATAACTGATAAATGATTTAAAATAAGAAAACTTTAAAAGAATTCATTATTTTTATAGATGATAATTAATCTTTACACTATCGCAAACAGAAATTATCGAATGTTTCAACCAGTTATGAGGAAACAAGCGTAGAATGTTTCAAAGGCATATCGGTTGTTAGAAGTGTAAAGTAGTCTAATGAGTCGAAAGTCATTACAATTGGACTCCTGCGAGTTCTTTAGAATCATGCATATTTAGGCAAACTCATGTAAATTGTAGTTCCATAAGATTCTCAATATAGTTATAGCATATATCGATTTAGCATACAATTTACAACGCAGATTTTCAAGTAATGTATGAAGTAAATTTTATGTTCGTTTCAGGAAATACGTACTCAAATTTTCATGATGTAAAAATCCGTATAATTACTTACTCACACATAAAAACTGAATATCAATGTTCCTATTGTTTAAACTGTGTTATAAAATGCTTCAAATTACCAGAGGAATATTAAGGTAAAGATGCCTATTATGAGATAGGCGCCAAATATGAGATACCAAGGTTTTGGCCAAACTATTAACGGCAACTATTTGGCTCTAGTGTTTTCCGAAGCGTCCTGGCAATAGCTCCAAACCTGTGTCAGTGCACGCTGGCCAGAGGTGCTGTTAGATCGTGGGTGTGCAGATTTTCACAAAAGCACAAAACAAATTTTTTGACATTAAATGTTTACGAGGTATGTAACAACGTTATTATTACGCTAAATTCTTTTAATTTACATTCATTGTATCAATTATACGGTCAATTTCACGATATTAGTGCAGTACTATTGTTTTCTTTGTCAGCAAAAAAAGTAGGCAGCCGTTTTGTAAAATTTGAATGTGTTCCCAATATGAGACACATGAGGGTTCCTAATATGAGATAT